TGTTTGTTCTTAGGACATTTTTGGGGTTCTAAGAACATGTCGTGGTAGGACTATAGGAATGCCGGGACAGTCGGTCCCTGCTCAAGCAAGTCTTCGTTGATTTTTCGATGCGGTGGAGGTCTGGGAACATGTCCTTCTGCGACCCCAGACCTCGCGTCGTGAGCAAAATCACGACGGGAGGTTTTTCGCTATTTTCAGCCTCTGGGGCCCTTCCCGGGCCTCGGGAGCGTCAAGAAACGACTCAGAATGAAAAACTGGTCCCGGGGAAGGGGTCCAGGCATCTGGTGGTCGGTGTTGCGGAAAAAATAACGACGCCTGGGGTCTGGGAAAATGTCTTTCTGCGTTCCACTCCGCAGGAGATCTCCGAGCAGTACCCGACCGCCGTGACGCCCGCGGGCTTCACCTTCGCCATCCCCGGGCGTTGCCATGGGTGGCCGTCTGGCCCAAGGTATCCCCAGCTGCTCCGAGGGAGGTTCAGACAGCCACTCGCAAGTCGCAGCGGGCCCCAAGGCGGGTCCGAAATGGCAGGAGCAGCTTTCGGTGAACAAGCACCGCGGATCAGCTCTGGGCTCCCCTGGCGGCGCTCCCGACGCCGCCGCGCCTCGCGCGCCAGAGAAGAGAGGGGCCCAGCACGGATCCAAGAAATCCGCCCGAGACCGACAGCGACACGAGAAGCCCCAAACGGGCCAAGAAACGACGGAGAACTTCGACCCTCGAACCTCGACCCTCGATCCAACTACCTCGAACCTCGAGCCTCGACCCAAGAGAGCATCGACCCTCGAGCCTCCGGGCGCCGCCGGCGATGCCGCCGCCGTCGCTGCCGCCGCCGTCGCTGCCGCCGTCGACGCGGTCCGTCGGCGCCCACGCCGTCGGCCGACGCCGTCCGCCGGCGCTGTCAGCCGACGCCGTCCGCCGCAGTCGTCCAGCGCCGCCGTCCGCCGGCGCCGTCCGTCCGCGGCCGCCGCCGCCGCCGTGGCCGCCGCCCGGCCGTGGCCTCCCGGCAGCGCCTGGGCAGTCTGGGGCCCCATCTTCCTGCTGCAGGCCGGCGGCACCGCGCTGGTCTCGGCGGGGGGCGCGCCCGAGGCGTGCCCAGCAGTGCCGCCCGCCGCCGCCCGTCGTCGCCGCCGCCGCCGTCGAGCGCCGCCGCCGCCGACGTCCGGCGTCGCCGCCGCCGCCGTCGCCTTCGCCTGCGCCGCCGTCGCCGTCGTCGACGCCGTCGTCGTCGTCCTTCGTCGTCAGCGTCGTCGCCGCCGCCGCCGTCGTCCGCCGTCGCCGCCGAGGCGAGCGCGACGCTCGCCCCCGCGTGGGTCGCCGCGTGGGCGGCCGAGGTCGCCTGGCAGCTCGTCTTCGCCTGCGCGCCCCGCCCCGCGGCGGCGGCGAAGCGCGAGAGGCGCCCCCCGCGGCGGCCGCTGGTGCTGGCCGACGGACGCTGGTGGGCGGCAACGGCGGGCGGTGTCATTACACACGGGCGGCGGCGCCGGGCACGGCGACGACGAGGAGGGCGAGGGCCACGGCGACGACGACGACGACGAGGACCGCGACGACGACGAGGACCACGACGACGACGACGACGACGACGACGACGACGACGACGAGGACCACGACGACGACGACGACGACGACGACGACGACGACGACGACGACGACGACGACGACGACGACGGCAGTGGCGGTGGCGGCGGCGGCGGCGGCGACGACGACGACGAGGACGACGATGACGATGACGAGGAGGAGGACGTCGAGGACGACGACACTGACGAGGAGGACGCGGGCGACGGGCTCTCGGCTCTCCGTTATGTCGGAGCTGCGGGCGACCCCCCCTGCCTACCGCTCGCCGCCGACAGTCGCCGCCCAGCATTGCGGATTGACGAAGGCAGGACAGGTCTCTTGTTTCGGCGCCTGGGCACCAGCGCTGGGTCCTGGGACCGTCGAAGATCAAGCAGTGGCGAAGCGTCCTGGTTTACCTATTGTCCCACCAAAGAATATTCTAAGGATATCTTTTGGTTTGCGCGATTTCTTAAAATGTTTCTCGCTGGGACTGTCTTGGTTTAGCACATTGGGGTTGTGTTCTAAGGACATTGTTTTTGTGATGAGCACATTTTGGGGTTCTAAGGAAATTTCGTGGTAGGCCCATGGGAATGCAGGGACCGTCGGCCCTGCTTAAGAAGAACGATCTGGGACGAACATTTGGTCCCCTTGAAGTGGTCCAGAGCGCCCGGAACTCCGCACTGAACAAAAGCATAGACGTCGGCGGCGGACGACAACGGCTGCGGCGGCGTTGCCGACGGACGGCTGTGGCGACGGGTACGGAGGCGGCCACGGCGACCGCTGCGCTTGTGGCAGCGGCAACGGCGACCACGGCGGCGGCGGCCGCTGGCGGACAGCGTCGGCGGCGACGGGGACCACGGTGGCGTCGGCGGCGGCGGCGGCGGCGGCTGCGACGACAACGGCCGGCGGCAGCGGCGGCGGTGGCGGCGCGTGCGAAGCGTGGGAGGCGCCTGGCGGTCATGGCGCCAGCCGCGGTACTGCTGTTGGCGGCCCAGGTCGGCTGAGTGTCGAGGGTCGAGGCTGCAGGATCGAGGTTCGAGGGTCTAGGGTTGTGAGATCGATGTTCGAGGGTCGAGATTCGAGGGTCGAGGTTGTTCAGGTCGAGCTTCGAGGATCGAGGTTTTTGGGATCGAAGTTCGCGGGTCGAGGGTTGCGAGATCGAAGATCGAGGGTCGAGTTTTTGGGGTTCGAGGTTCGAGGGTCGGAACAGCTGGGGTCGAGGTTCCAGGGTCGAGGTTTTTGGGGTCGAGGTTCGAGGGTCGAGGTTTTTGGATTGAGGTTCCAAGATTGAGGTTGTGAGATCGAGGGTTCGTGGGTCGAGAGTTGATGGCAGCCTCCTGGGACCTCCGCGGGGGACTTTGCAAGTCGCCAACCCAGCAACCAGTCTCTCGTCAGGCGACAGGTCTTCACCGAGAACTCACGCAGGTGGTGCAGCGTCCGTTGGGGCATGGCGCTCAGAATATGCACGGTGTGCAGATACGAGTACAGTCGGGCCGCTGAAGAAAGAACCCTTTTAGTTGGGGAGGGGTTCCGTGTTCCTTGATTGTTTCACAGCTTGCCTTAGGTTTTCCTTAGGCTTTCGAGGGGAAATCGAACTCTGACTGATGGGAAAAAAGAGGCCTCGTTCCTTACTTAGGGTTCCTTATTGCAGCGTTTCGATTGCAGGCCGCTCGGATGAGAGCAGGGCGTTAAGAAGAAGAGGCTCGTCGACTCCCAGGAAAATATGGGAAACTATGGGAAGTGTGTGGGGGGGGGGGGAAGACAGAAACCCAGAACATGTAGGAAAATTTGGGGGATCCTGTTATCTGTGTGTATGTTTGTGGGCCCCTTCAGAGGCCTCCCGCTCGCGACGAGACGGCTGCAGGCTCGGGTTCCCGCAGAGCGGGCCCGTGCAGGCGCGCCTGCGGTGCACACCCCGCCCCCCTTGGCCCTGCCTTTGACGAGTGCGCTGCACGCGGGTGAAGGGTCGTCGTACATCGTCGTCGTCGGCGTCGTAAATCGTATATCGTACATCGTCGTCGTCGTCGTCGTCGTCGTCGTCGTCGTCGTCGTCGTCGTCGAGGTCCCCTGCTGCTCCTCCTGCCTACGGCTCGGGCTGAGCCTCCCGCGGCGGGGCCTCCCCCACGGCCCCCCCCCCCGGGGGGGGCGCCCCGGGCAGGCCCTTGCCCGCGGCGCGACGGGGCCCGCCTCCACAGGACCCGCAGGGGCCCAGTGTAGTCTCATCCTCCTCCTCATCCTCCTCCTCCTCCTCCTCCTCCTCTCTCCTCCTCCTCTCTTCCTCCTCCTCCTCCTCCTTCCTCCTCCTCCCTCCTCTTCCTCCTCCTCCTCCCCTCCTCCTCCTCCCTCCTCCTCCTCCTCCTCCTCCTCCCCCTCCTCCTCCTTCCGTAGCCATTTTGGCTCAAGGGGCCTGCTCCTTACCTTCCAAACTCTCTCGAGGCGCCTGGTGGCCAGGCACCAAGGCCGGGAGCGGACGCGCTCCCCTGGCCCCGCGGGGCCGCTCTCCCTTGGCCCGCTGCGGCCGCGATCTCCTCCCGCAGTGCCGTCCGAGGTCAGCGAGTCCTGGCCAGTATCTCTCACATCTACTCCTCCCGCCTCCCCTGGAGGGATGAGTACCCCCCCCGGCGGCCCCTGGAGGTACGTCCACGGAGGGTAAGAGGGACACCGAGCAGATCCTCGCCGCCATGCGTGATATGATTGCTCCTCTGTCGTCGTCGGTCGCCAGCCTGTCCAGTCAGTTGAATCTCGGCGTGCAGGAGATAAACCAACAGATTTCGGGAATCCAGGGTCATATGATCGCCACTGAGAAGAACTTCCAGACATTACAGCAGGCGCACACTGAACTGGCAAAACAGACGGCAGCCAATTTCGAGCAGATGCGCGCGATCCACGAACAGGCTCTCCTTCAGTGCATTCAGGACCGTGAGACCGCAGAATCCGCCATCCGTGAGGAGCTCAGAGGAATGATCCAGACGATGCGTGATGAGATCCAGGACCTTCAGAAAGTCGTCGAGCTTGGGACCCCGACACCTCGTGGGGATGAAGAAAGGCAGGTCCGTCGGAAGGTCGACTCTGGGCTAGTGGGCAACCCCTCGCGTCTTGTGGTTCTTGGATTTCCACGGCCGCTGATGGAGAAAACGCTCCGTGAAGCTGTCCAGAGTATCATCGCCCGCTGTGCTCCGTCTTCGACTCAGGGTTCGATTCAGGTCAAGGCCTACGATTGCAGTAAGAAGGTGTTCCTGGACTTTGATTCCAACTTAGAGGCCTCCACGTTCCATGGGATGGCATCGTCCGTGGGCGCGTTCCCCTTCCCGAACCCCGAGGGCGGTCCCGACTTACAGCTACGGGTCCGACGTGATCTCCCCCCCCTCCTCCAGGAAGCTGTTCTACTATCTCGGGAATATGCGACAGCATGTGTCCAGAATCTTTGGGGCGGACAAGGTGGGGTCGACGGGATTAGGGGGCGCGGCGTGTGTGATGAAGGACGACGGAGTCCCCGTGCAAGTGGTTAAGATTTCTATAGTGGATGATGGCCCCACCGCGGGCACCGTGCAGTGCGGCGTCGAGATCGATGGTTGACGGAAGTGGGAGGGCAACAGCATGCACAGTGTCTGCGCGCCAGGTTCGCAGAGATCCGCCCCTTTCGGTGAGTATCGGAACTGTTCGACTGGTGAGTGGGCGGTGGGGAGAAATCCAGTGGGTTCAGCTACTGAGTGCTCGCCCGCCCTCCCTGCCCAGTTTGATGCACACCACGCAAGTGACAGTGCTCTATCCTTCTCGCCGCCTGCTGGGGAAGCTGGTGGTGTCTCCTCTGTCTCTCTGCAGTTGGAACGCGCGCGCTATTCGCCTCTCTCTCGTCTCGTTCATCTCGGTCACGCTCGCGCTTCCTTCGGGCTAAGCAGCTGCTCTCACAGTATCAGGTCATGTGCTTACAGGAGACGCACGGATCTGAAACAGACTTGGTTATCCTTCGGGACGAAACGCGGACTGGGCAATTTTTTGGGAGCTTTCTGGAGGATCGGAAAGCGGGTGGGGTGGTGACCTTCCTGTCTTCGTGTCTCTGTGGCTGCTTCGACCCGATCGCTCCGATTACGGTCGTTCCTGGGCGGGTGTTACTCGTCCATGGTAGGGGACCTCGAGGAGACTTGGTAGTGGTCAATGCTCATATGCCTAACACGTGCGATGACGTTCATATCTATCATCAGTACTTACGCTTCATCAATGCCGCCCTTCCTGCGGCAGCGCATACCATGGTTATCATTCTGGGAGACTGGAATTTCTGTGCGATGGAGGATGGTAGGTCTCTTGTCTCAGGGGAGATTGGGCCTGGGGACCGTTTGCAATGTGTGTGAATTATACCAACCAGACCCGACCCGAAGGGATATCGTGAATCGGGAACTGAGGGGTTGGCCAGATTAGATCGGATTTACACGACCCTTCCTGCAGGTACCCTCGATGAGATGACCGTTGTTGTCGACGCGGTCGGCGCCCTCATGCATCCAGGGGCCTCCTCCGATCACATTCCCGTCGCTGCCACGGTTTCCCTCCCGACCCCGAGGGGCCGTTTCTCGGTTCCGAAATGGATCAGCCAGCATGCCGACTACCACAGGCTGGTTTCCGAACAGCTACGGGAGCTGACGGACCCTGTCCAGAAACCCGCGAGGGTGAACGAAGTTTTTTGGCACGGTTGCTGTGGAATTCAAGAAGGCCCTTAAGTGTCGGACAGCGAGCAACGATGCTGAACGGCTCCGCTATGCGTTCATGGCATACCGTGGATGGAGGGGTCGGCAGTGGTATCTCTGTATTCGCGCCATTCGCTGCTACGCTTCTCTCCTGCATTTCTTCGGCGTCGACGGCGGCGTGTGCGCTGATCCTGATGGCCTCCACAGTTTGGTATTAACCTTGAAAAGACGTTGGTTTGACGCGGAGTTGGAGGAGTTGGATCATAGTAACCAGGTGGAGGAGGTCAGGACCAAGAAGAAACGGAGGTTGGTGGCTCTTAGGCGTGGGTGGGGCCCCATGAGGAGGAGGACTGGACTGCTTGGAGTATTGGACGAGAACGGGACCCCGCGCGCCTCCCCAGAAGCGGCTTCCGCGGCACTGGTGGCCCATTGGAGTAAGGTCTTTGCACGGGCGGATCATGATCACGACCCGACTCATTGGCGAGAAATGTTGGCCCACGTTCAGACTATTGGCGACTGTATTCCTGCCCCGCGGTGGAAACTTGACGTTGACGAATTTCGGGGCCGTGTTGGCCATAAATTTCATTCTGCTCCTGGCCCTGATGGGGTCCCGCATGGATGCTGGAAGGTCCCTGAGGCGACCGATGCTTTGTTCGAGGTTTACGAGGAGGTTTTCAACAGTGCAGGAGATGCTCTTCCCCCTGAATGTCGGGTTAGTCGTATGGTTTTCCTCCCGAAGGGCAGTGGCCCCCGTGATCGCAGTGACTTTGTCTCTCGTGCACCTGCCTCCACCCGCCCGCTCTCCCTTGCGAATGCGGATGCGAAGATAGTCTCTGATGCCTTCTGTATGGGACTCAATGACGTCGCTCCTGAGACGGTGGACGTCTCCCAGCGTGGTGGGGTTCGAGGGCGCAACATTCTTGACAATGTCGTTGAAGTGGAAAATGGGGCCTTATCCAACGCATGTGTGGGGGGGGATAAAGCGGGGGTCTTGTTCACCGATATCAAGGCGGCGTTCCCTTCGATCCTGGCCGAGTGGTTTTTTTTTGCCGTTTTGGTGGCCGCGGGGGTTCCCAGCGAGACCGTGGGTTTCTTCAGAGCCCTGTGCGCCAATAATACAGCCCTGGTCTGCTTTGAGGGCGCTGCCGAAAAGGTTTTCCCTGTGGAACGAGGTGTGCGGCAGGGGGGCCCTGCGTCAATGACTCTCTTTGCTCTGGCCCTGGACCCCGTACTTCGCTGGATCCGTGCCCGCCGTGTCGAACGTGTAGGTGTCCAATTGGCGCACGTTGATGACGGTTGTTTTGGACTACGTGACATTCTCATCGATCTCATGCCCACCTTGCTGCTTCTCGACTTGCTCTCGTCCGCGATTGGTCTCTCGTTGAATGTGGGGAAATGTTACGTCCTGATCTGCGGGGCGCTGGATGGAGATGCCCTCGCTGCCCACGTGACTCGGAAAGGCAGCCGTTTCGCCTCAGTCCGTTTCGCCACCAGAGTTTTGTACCTCGGATTCTGGGTGGGCCCATCGGCCCATGAGGTTGCCTGGGTGGAAACGATGAATAAGTTTGGCAGCGAGTTCGTCTTCTTCGCTCTCTCTCGCTGGGCTTGGCGACCACCATCCGTCTGTTCCACTCTAATTGCCTCTCCGTCTTGCAGTATCGGATTCAGTTGGTGAGGGTCACCCCAGTGGTCCGGCGTCAGTATAGGGAAGCCTTGCAGATACTTACAGCGGGGCCTCGGCATGCGTTGAACTACACTATGCTCACCCAGTTGCGTGACCTGGGGATCTCACTTGAGTTCGTGGACCTGGGACTGCATGATAAAGCTACGAAATTTCGGGTGGTGATGCGGTGCAAGGCATCAGACTATGCACTATATGAGTTAGATGGCTTAGCTAGTGGCTTGACTGATGATGAAGTTATTCCTGCTCGTATGTTTTCTGGATGGTGGTGCCATTCGATGATGCGCACGACGAATGAGGATGCGGCGGACCTGGTGAACTCTCCCATTGATCGAACTGCCCGTCTTCTCCAGGCCAAGGTCCATCGGCACTTACGGTCGGTTCGTATGACTGCCACTCCATTATTGTGTCTGGGTGCACGGGTATCGAGGTGGTTAGTTGCAGCATCTCTCGAGGATATGTTCCGTCTGCGGACTAGATTGCGCGCTGTGGGGCGTGCCACGTGCGCGCATCTTGCTACCAACGTTCTCCGCGTACTGTCCAGGGGCGTTTGTACTTCGGCACGTTTTCATGCGAATGACCGTGGGTGCTGCTTTGGGTGTGTGGCCCCTGATGACCTTCACCACTACAAGATCTGTGATCGCTTCCGTGACTTCGCACTGCACCGTCTCCCAGGCTTGGAAGCATTACCCACGCCGTGGAGGGAGATGTGGCAGCACCGAGATACATGGCTTACCTGTCTCTGTCTGTTGGGACCTTCCTGGGGGCTCGACCGCGACGTGGCCTGCGCTGCCTTCATCGATGCCTTTCTGAAGACACACGCCCATCATCGGCGCCAGACTCAGGTCCCCTCGTCCCAGGTCTTCGTTGCACGTTTGCGTCTTCTGGCTCGTCGGTATACTGGTGTCGCACGACAGTTCAGGGCGCGGCGTATTGGGCGGGCTGCCACGTGAAGTGATGTCGTCTGAGTGTGACCGCCCCCTTTCTTCCCTCGCGCGTTTGCTCTAGTGATCCTCTTTGTGTTCCTTTGCCTCTCCTGTCGCTTGCTGTCTTCCGTCTCCCCTGCCTCTGCCGCTGCCTCTCCCCTGCGGGGTGGGCGTTGTTGGGTCCTCGGTTTTTCCCGCCCCTGCCTTCCCCCCTTTCCCCTGCCTTTCTTCCGGCCCGCCCCCTCGGTCCTCCTGCTGCTTGTGCTCCGCCGTGCGCGCGCTGTTGCTGCCGGGTCTGGGCCCCCGCCTGGCCGGGGGAGCGCGCGCGGGGGCGCGCGTGCACCCGCCCCGCCGCTCCCTGCCGCCCCCGCCGCCCGCCCCGTCGACGACCTGTTCGACTGTGCCCGTTGCGCCTCTCTGGGAGGTAGGTTGCCGCCTCTCGATTTTGTCTAGGCGTTTCTCGGGCCTGGGTTGCGGGTCGAGGTGGCGGTGGCCTGGGTCGCAAGCGCCCGTGGCTTGTGGGGCATGGGCTCTGTCCCCCCCCGTCGCCGAGTGCGCCCCCCCGCTGCCGAGGACTCTCGTTCGGGGGGATCGGTGGCGGGCGGTGCTGCCCCGCCCCGCCCCGCGCGCGAGGTACCTCGGCACCTCCCACGGGTGGGCGAAGGTCGGCCACCCGTTGTGCACGGGCGTCAAGTACCCTGTCCTTTCTCTCCTCCTTCGCTGCTCCTCTGCTGCTTCTGCCCCCCCCCTCCTGCGCGGTCTTCGACGTTGGCAGGCCTGGCCTGCCGCAGCGTGGCCCTTGCTGATCACGGACTATGGATATGGATTATTGGTGTGCGCCCTGCGGGTCAAAAAACTCCTCCTCCTCCTCCTCCTCCTCCTCCTCCTCCTCCTCCTCCTCCTCCTCCTCCTCCTCCTCCTCTTCCCCCCCCCTCCTCCCTCCTCTTCCTCCGCCTCCGCCGGACCCGCCGGGGCCCAATGTAGTCCTCCTCCTCCCTCCTCTTCCTCCTCCTCCTCCTCTCCTCCTCCTCTCCTCTCCTCCTCCTCTTCCTCCTATTCCTCTTCCTCCTCCTCCTGCTCCTCCTCCTCCTCCTCCCTCCTCTTCCTCCTCCTCCTCCTCCTCCTCCTCTTCCTTCTATTCCTCTTCCTCCTCCTCCTGCTCCTGC